TGCAAAAGATTGAAGTGGTTCCTGCCTTAGTGGCTCCTCACAGGATAATTTGACCTTTTACATTTTCAAAGTGACACTGTAGTCCCAGGATTTGACCTCTACTTGGATTTCCAAAGGATTGTCCAGATTGTTTTATTGAATCAAATATTGCTTGAGATCATTAAGCTTTTGACTAAGCTTAGAAATATTTTTTGTTTAGGGATTTTTGTTGTAGTCAGAATTGAATTATATACCCCATTCACCTTTGTTTATTCAGCAGCTCTTTTCATTGAAAAAAACTGACACTTTTTAAGTGCTTCAAGGGAGATTGCTGCTTGTTTATTGTGAAATATTTTATAAATTGCCAGGTTATCTTTTTGAATAAATTTGGATATTCATAAATGGAAAATTTTATGTTTTGCTGAAAATAATATTTCAAGTGTCCATAAACTTTGGTTGCATCTTATTTTCTTTTGACAAAGTGAACACTTTAGTTGACTTAATACTTTTAGTGACTTATAAAGATCATTAATTTCCACAGCTAAAATTATTTGATTAAGGAGGTTGATTAGGGAATGTTTTTATTCTAGGATTTCATCTATTGCTAAGTTGTCATAAATTCTTATATTACTAGTTAATACTTGGTATGCAAATGCAAAATAAGTTCTGGTTTTATCAATGAAATTGTAAACTTGTTCTCACACATCTCATAGAATCTTAATAACAGCTAGAAACCAAACTTATGTGATATGGTGGAAAAACATGGAGTTTGGAATTGAGTTCCTGGGGACTTGAGTGTGAATTCCAGATCTGCCACTTAGTTATGACCGTTGTGACTTTGGACAAGTCCATAACCTCAGTAGGCCGCAGTTTGCACATCTATAAAATGGATGGGTTGAAGTATTCCCCTCCAAATTCAATGTTCGTTCTTAAACTAGAGTGTAAAAGGCCAAGGGTGATAGCACGTGGATTACAGTTCAGTTAATTTTTAAAGTTTCTTTTGGGTTCAAGCCTTCATTTTCTTTGCACGTGGTTTTTGCTTTTTAGAGCTTTCTTTTCTGCAGGAGTCCTTTCCTGGTCAGCCCATCACTGCTAGTGCCTTTCGTTTGAAATTCCTTGTGTACAATTTCATGCGTGTTCTCTCCATTAGCACGTGAGCTCTTTGAGGGCAGGGACTGTGTTTCTGTCTTTCTTGGTATCGTCAATGCTTAGTGTAGAGCCCGGTCCCTAGCAAGTAAGTGCTCAGTAAGTAAATGGTTGTTGATTACTTGTCTCTCTCCTCTTTGTATGGGAGTAGTGGGCTATAGGAGTTTTCATATTTATCAGCACAGTGCCTAGGAACTTTTTAAAAATAGTGACACTTGCATTTGTATATATCAAAAGATTGGTAAGCTTTGTATTCATGCAGCTCATAGTTTGGCATTATGCACAAATAATTTTTATGCTTAAAGCAGTTTTCCTTCTCTCTTTGGACACTGCTGGCCCACTTGCCTTGATTTATATTCGGTCCAGTATGTTTTCAGGGGCTCTAGACAAATCTTAACAGTTTTGAGAAGACATGATTGGTATAGCGTAGTTTAAAAATCATTGACTTAAAGTCTTAAACTTGGGTTAAAGCAGTCTTCACAAATGCAAGGTAGAGAGAACTGCCTTGGAGTCTTAAGGGACTGAAGTGGCTTCATTTTGAGTGATCAGTGATGATGTGGTAGGTCAAGAAACTCCTGCTCCTTCGAGTTTTAGTAAAAGAGGTGTAGTTTATAGGAAAAAAAGACAGATAATCACTGCACTCTGACCTTGTCAGACTACAGCCGGCACAGTATATTCAGTTCTAGGTATCCTAAACCGTGGAGGGCAGATCTTGACACTCTGGCAGTGTCCAGTAGAGACTCTGGTAAAGGGGCTTTGAATTCATGCTAGGTGAAGGCTTGTGGAAGGAACTAGGTATTTTTCTTGGCTAAAGAGTGGAGAAGAAAAGACTCAGGGTGGACTGCCTTCCAGCATTTGAAGGGCTGTCATGTTGGACTGTAATTACATTTGTGCTGTTTGGCTCCTTAGGGCAGAGCCATGAGCAGTGAGTAGAAGTTGGAAAGAGCCAAATTTTGGGCTAAATTTCAAGAAAAACCATCTCGCACACAGAACTATTTGGAATGTGCGAAGGGAGTAATTCCCACTCTTGTCTTCAAGCAGAGGTTGGGTAATCATTTAGTTATGTGGTTGTAGGAATTCTTTTTTGGATAGCTTGGAACAGATGGCTACTAATATCTCTTCCAAGTCTGAAATCATGTGATTTGGTGATATAATATATCTCAAAGGTTCTTAACCTTTTTTGTGTCAGTGACCATTTTGGCAGTCTGGTGAAGCGTATGGACCTCTTCTCAGGATCATAATTTAAAATGCATAAAGTAAAATAGGATTATAAAGGAAATAAAAAATTAATGAAAATAAAGATGTAACTTTTCCCCCCATTCATGTTCATGGACTCCCTGAAATCTATCCGTAAATCCCAAATTAAGAACCCCTGGCGTATCATAAAGCTAAGTATTAATGACTCTGATATGTCCATGTTACTTTCCTCTTTGTAATAGCGGATAATTGGGAGGTTATGTATTTTTTATGATGAATTTTTTCTGTTAGAAGCTAGAATTTTTTTTAACTCAGCAAAATCCTCAAATACAAGAAGAACATGATAATCCTGTGGCCTGCAGTTACTATGTTACATGGTGCCTTTCATGAGCCCAAGTTCATCAACAATGCAAGTGCTTTGTACTATTTTTCCTGCAGTCAAGGCTGTATATAAGCTGTGGCTCTGTAACAGAGTGAAGTCAGTGGATCCATGGAGGAATCAGTACTTTATTAGTATAGTTGGCAACTTTTGGATCAAGGGCAAAGAATAGATTCATTGGAGAATCTTTTTATTTCCTAGTGATTTTTTTTTAGAATGTCTCATTCTTAACATTAGTTTTAGAGCTTTGATCAGCATGAATTTTTTAAAAATTAATTTATTTTGATTTATTAACAATCACTTCTATGTGCTTTTGAGTTTAAAATTTTTCTCCTTCTTCCTCCCCACTACCCTCCCCAAGATGACTCACAATCTGATATAGGCTATAATAAACATATTTTCACATTAGTGATGTTGTAAGTAAGAATTAGAACCAATAGGAGGAACCACCAGAAAGAGGAAACAAAACTCAACAGAAGGAAAAAAAAATAGCAAATAGTATGCTTTGATCTGCATTCAAACTCCATAGTTCTTTCTTTGGATGTGGATAGCATTTTCCAACATGAGGTCTTTGGAGATGTCTTATATCCTTGTATTGCTGGAAAGAGTTAAGTTTATTAATGTTAGTCATCGCACAAAGTGGCTGTTATGGTGTACAACGTTCTCTTGGTTCTGCTCATTTCTTTTTCTTTCTTTCTTTCTTTTTTTTTTTTTTGGGCTGGGCAATGGGGTTAAGTGACTTGCCCAGGGTCACACAGCCAGTAAGTGTTATGTGTCTGAGGCTGGACTTGAACTCAGCTCCTCCTGGCTTCAGGGCCCGTGCCCTATCCACTGTACCATTTAGCTGCCCCCTTGGTTCTGCTTATTTCACTCAGCATCAGACCATACAAGTCTTTCCAGGTTTTTCTGAAGTCAGTCTGTTCATCATTTCTTATAGTACAACGGTGTTCCATTGCATTCATATACCACAACTTGTTCAGCCGTTCCGCAATTGATAGGCATCCTCTCAGTTTTCAGTTCTTTTCCTCGATCAGCATGAATTTGAGAGGTGTTGTAGTTACAATATACTTATTGCCTAAATTTTATTATTGCATCCAAGTGTGCGCAAGTATACCACAGTGGTTATTAGTGTTAATTTCATTTTTTTTTTTTGCTTTCTTTTTCCAGGCAGTCAGGGTTAAGTGACTTGCCTAGAGTCACACAGCTAGTACCTGTCAAGTGTCTGAGGCTGGATTTGAACTCAGGTCCTTCTGATTTTAGGGCCAATGCTCTATCCATTGCGTCTCCTAGCTGCCTCTTAGTGTTCATTTCTTAACAGATTGACTCTCATATAGTTAGCATGTGAGTGAATTATATTATTTGCATTAGCAGTATATTTTACCATTTGTAATTTATTTTTACAATTTTTTTGCATTTTCTTCATTGCTTGGTAATAGATTTTCCACTGTAGATTTTGGACTATATTTCCAGCGATTTGTACTCATATCCCAGTTATTTCTCAGTGAAATTAGCCCTGGGCCACCGATATAGTCTTATAAAAGCTGCTAATGAGTAATTAGTAAGAGCCTGAGAGGTTCTTTTACTCCCATTCCCTTGGGCAGGGAGCTTTGAATGAGCATGGGGCAGTTTGAGAGAGAGTCTATTGTGCAAAAATTATCTGCTCTGCTCTATGTTTCCGACTGTTTTCTAAAAATGATAATATTGTTATGTAATGTACCAAGAATATTAACTAACTTCTCACCCTGCAGAGATCTCCACACTGAGACCCTGTTTTAGAGATTAATGTTTCCTGCCGGTTCAGTAGGGACCCCAGCCACGCTCACTTTTTAAATTGCTCTTTTGTTAAACCGAAATCTCCCTCTTTCTAACCTTCAGCTCTTGATCTTTCTTCTGTCCTTTTGGACCAAATAGAACCAGTCCAGTTTCTCTTCCTTTGAACCTAGCTCTAACTTCCCAGTCCAGAATGACCTTCTCTTCCCAACCTCTTGGGTCCAGCCAAGGTCTTGTTTTCTCACACAGAACAGTATATCTCCAGAATCTTTACTATCATACAGTGTATTAGTTCTGCCATTTCTTTGTGTCAAAGGCAGATTGAATAAGAATACAAGCTAACCACTGCATCCAAGTAATTGATAAAAATATCAAAAACATCACTAGGCCAAACACAGATCCCTGCTGCACTTCACAGGAAACCTTCCAAGTTGACTTTGAACCTTCAGTGACTTAACACTTAACTATTTTATTGTTAGATTAACTATGCTACAAAATTGCCTAATTTGTGACTGTGCTTCCTTTTCAGGGAAAATATTCTTTTTGGAATGGGAAATCCTCTTCTTGACATTTCTGCAGTTGTGGACAAAATTTTCCTCGATAAGTAAGTTTCAAAAGCTTTGTATATGATGTGGAAAATGGACTAGAGGGAAAATGTGATAAAAATTTAGAATGCAATGTGCTATACAAACAACCCAGAACCCCTGCAGATTATGAGGACTGGGCCTGATGGCACTGATGCTGTCTGACAGAGTGACTCAGTACTTGGTCCTTCTTGCTGATGGGAAAGCCTTTGTACAATTTCATTTACAATTTTATTCTAAATTAAATGAATGTTTCCTTAATGTATTATTTTCCATAAACTTGTTAATACCACTGATCTCCTATAGTATTAGTCTTTTAAAAATGATTTCAAAATGGAACGCAGTTCAGATTTTCTTGTTTGTTTTTATATTGACTAATTTTGCTCCGATATTGGCTAGCCATTGTTTTATTTCCTTTGCTTCAATAAATATGCATCCAGTATAATCCTTGGTATTGTTGCTTCACACTTCTGGAAATTAATGCAAAAAAAACTATAACTGACTTGTATCTCATTTGTTGAGCAACAATTTAGTGAGTTTATTTTTTTTTCCTTCTTTCCTTCCTTCCTTCCTTCCTTCCTTCCTTCCTTCCTTCCTTCCTTCCTTCCTTCCTTCCTTCCTTCCTTCCTTCCTTCCTTCCTTCCTTCCTTCCTCCCTCCCTCCCTCCCTCCCTTCCCTTCCTCTCTCCATCTCTCCCACTTAATTCATCCAGGTAGTTCTTGACTAAGCTTTATTTAAAATAGAAGTTTTGGCCTAGGGGAAAATTTGTTAGTTTTGGGTAAAGTGCAGGAAAGGACTTGGGAAAACAGTTAAGTTGAGTAAAGAGGAAGTGTGTAGAGGCTAACTCTGCACAGATCTTTTTTAATGCTAAGAGTAAATTTATATCAACTTATAGATTTTTACATGTATCATCTTTATTTGTATTCCCACTTACATGATATTTTTTGTAAATCTTGTTTTCTTTAAAGGTCTTTTAGATAGTAATCTGGTGGTTGATGGCTTGGTATCTCTGTCTTGGCATAGTTGGGAGCTCCAAGCAGCTTCTTTGTCTTAGGCACAGCAGATGCCAAAAGGCCAGCTGAAGGGTTTTTAATTGTAAGCTGCCAGAAAGCAGAGAATGGGTGGTACCAGTGGTGTGATGTTGTGGGCAAAAGTTTGGCCATTGGAATAATGGGAGCAGGATGAAAGAAACTGATTAAAAATGGAAGGGTTTAACCTTAACCCTTCAGGATTTGGAGGGGAAAAAATGAACTTTAGGGACTTTAGCTACAAGGAATAAGCATTTTTCTTAATTTTTAAAAATCTCTTTATAGTTGATCTTAAACTCGAACTGGGTCTTAATTATTGTGAAAAATAAATCCCATGAAATGGTTGATTTGTCAGAATTTGCACTGCATATTTATACTATGCTGGAGGAACAAGTGGTCATATTTTATGTAATTATAACTCCAAATAGTATGAATTCAAATGCATCCTTCTACGTTAGGGAATTAAATTTTTTGCACTAATCGAGATCTGGCTGTACATTTAAAATTTTTATGAGTTGAACTGGTTTAACTGGCTACTCAACTTGTCTTAAGGAATGTATAATAGGATAGTGTGAAGTCATAGTGTGCTTGATTTAGGAGGCTCTGGGTTTAGATCCCTTCTCTAACTCTTAATATTAGCTGTGTAACTGTGGAAGCATCACTTAATGCCTTTGACCCTAAGTTTCCTTATCTGCGAAACAGAAATTATACTTGCAGCATATACTTTAAGTTAAATAAGCTAACGTCCTTAAAATCTTTTGTAAATTTTAATTTGACATAAAAATATTATTTGTTATTATTAGACCTCTAGTGAACTCCTTGACCAGTGAATTGTGTTGTTAATACAATACAACAATACAATTAAAACATTACAACAATAAATTGCTAATAAATGCTGCATAAGACTGTGAAAGACCCAAAAGATACTAATGCTTAGGAGCTTGCACAATGTTTATGATTTAAATAATTTTTGCCAAGATAAGTACATTGGGGGCAGCTAGGTGGGACGGTGGATAGAGCACCTGCCCTGAAGTCAGGAGGACCTGAGTTCAAATGTGGCCTCACACCAAACACTTGACGTTTACTAGCTGTGTGACCTTGGGCAAGTCACTTAACCCCAGTTGCCTTAAAAAAAAAATCTTAAAAACATGTAAAACATTTGTATGGTAACAGGAAAAACAAAAAATTTAGAATCAGAATTCTAGAACTGAAAGCGCTTCCTTGTTTTAAAGTTAAAGAAGCCAAAGCACAGCTTGGTTACTGGTCTTGCCTAGCAAGGAAGAGTTGGGAGGGGAGTAGTAGTAGGAGGGCTGAGTTGAGCTTAGACTGCTGGCCTTCTGATTTCTGACCCCAGGTTGTAACCTGCCTCATTCCTTAACCAAGTAGCTTGTTTCAATGTTCCTCCTTGTATTTAACATGTTCCGACTCCTATTTAGGTTAAATGTAGGGCTTTAAACATACTTAAGCAAGTCGTCTGGTTCTTACCCTGTTCTTAAATTAAACTTGCTCCAATTCTTGCCCTTAGTCATTTCCTGAACAGTTTATAGTTGAAACTGAATGTTACAGAGAAACAGGTGCCTCATTTTCCCTTATCTCCTCTTGTTTTCTCCATTCCCGTTTGCTTTTTTCTGCTCCTCATTACCTTGTTATTTACAATACAAATATTATTGTTCCTACTATGCTTATGATTAAGTGTTCGCCATATAAGGAGCACGGGATGCCATTAATAAGCATTGATGAAGAGAAGACTGCTGAACGTTGATGGCGAACTCCATGTGAACAGGATCGTTTCGTACTTTCTTGGCCAATAACACGTAGCATAGCGCTAAGCATGTAGTGAGTCCTCCGTGAATAATTGCTGGCTGCTGCAAGTAAAATGCTTAAAAAAAGATGTTTAGCAGAATATATAGTGAGAGTTTTCAAGATTTCAGAGGCAGTTGGTGTATTTATCTTCTTTTAAAATGGTGTTTTCTATCAAATTATCAGAGGCATTCTCTAAAACTTAAGTTGTACTGACAGTGGGCTAGGAATGATCTACTTCTTGATCATTTAAATTATATCTGCACAGAGATGAAGAAGAAAGAAGATTCAGATTTTTATTCTAAATCGTATCAAGTCTGATAACACCCAGAAGTTCAGAAACACAAGGATTCTTTTTTAACTGATTCTCCCCCTCTTTAGTTGTGTGCCTTGTCTAAACATCACCCAAATAGGGGGGAGCTAGGCAGTTTCTGGTAGTTATTTATGCTTCCAAAACTGTCAGGAAGTTAGTTTAGTTCCTAGGAGACATAAATAAATTAGCCAGTCCCTTTATTAGAATTTGGGAGATGCAGGAATTTACTTGTTTAATAAGGGTAGAAAACAAGGAGAGCCTGAATTATAAGAGGTTGGTTGATTGCCTGGAGCTGGACGGGTTCCACAGTGGGAGAGGAATGCCATGATACAGCAGGTCCACTGAGCACAGAGTATTTGCCTCCAGAATCCAAGGCAGTTTGTTGTGGAGCATCTTCTTTTGTTTCCATGAAGATTGCCAAGACTAGTTTCTGCTTTGAAAAATAAAAATGAAGGGATTTCAATGAGAGCCAAAGTCTTTGAAAGAGACCCAAGCTGTTTGTAAGAGCTTATATGATTTTTAAGTTAGTTTAGGTAGACGTTTTCCTCTGGGATGTGGAAAAGATTTTCTTGGTTTCAACATTGTTTAGTGATTGTCCACTTCTAATTTTTGTTTATTAGTTCATTGCTTTGGCAGTATTTCTGAGCCAGCCATTTTCTTGGCCAAAACCCCACTGTCAGAAGGTACCCAATATGATCTGCAAGGGTTAAGTTAACGTGCACCTTGAAAATCCTCATTGCTGACCAGAAAAGGAATAAATTCTTCAAAGCAGTAGCTGATGAAAATAGTAGCTGTTGAGTACAAGTCAGTTAGTTGTTTCCTTTGCATTATTGTACTGAGTAGTGGGTACGACAGGGTCTTTTGTACCTCTTCACCTAAGTTTTTGTTGATTGATTGTTGACAGGGAAAAGGACACAAAAATGTGTTATCCTTGTAATTACTCTGCCTTTGGTCTTTATACTTCTCTGCCTAACAGTTGATCAGTTACTTACATGGTCCACTATGGCATTCCATCTGTGGCATAGTAATTATGTAATTTCACTTATTAATGGTGTTTCTACCAAAGTTTGTTCAGTAGAGGATTAAATACAGACTATTCCTATCAGTATTCTAAAATCAAATTGAAAGCAGGTTTAAAACAACATAGTTCCGTAGGCCATAGTGAGGGATAACTTTTAATCAATTTTTACAATAGGAAAAGAAAAGGAGCTTTGATGATTTTTTTTAAAATAACAGGTACTTCCCTACCATCTCTTGCTGAATCTTTTCCAACCACTAGTCACTGTATCTGGTCACCAGTGCCATGAATCTTTGGCAATCACAGAAAGGAAAATGAAGTAAAGGGAAAAAGTGAAACCATAAATGGTAGCCTGAGTAGAAAAAAATCATAGATTGGCATCCATACTTTCCTTCTGACTTCTTCCCAACTTCTGTAAGCCACTTTGCTTGGGCTCAGAAGAACTCTGAAAAAACTAATATAAGAATGGTTTAGACCACAAGAAAAAATATTGAAATTCTCTACCACTGACCACTTGGATTAATGAGCTGAGGTGGGGTAGAGAGAAAGAGCTGTAGGGAGAGGAGTACACTTTTGTAAGTTTATAGATTTTAAGAAGGTTTATTACTTCTGTGTGACTCAGGTTTTTCAGATAGTTGACTATTTGCTACTGACCCAGTGGATAGGGTATAATGATATAGATCTATATCTAATGATATAGAGTAGCTAAGCTGTATTGGAAGTATTGTATGTTACCAATTGAGAGATTTAGGTGCTTTGGTTGCACTAAGTGCCTCTGGGGTAGACCTATCGTGTTGTTGGGGCAAAAACTGCTGGGGCCTGCTAAAGGAACCTGTAGCAGCTTTACTACCCATCCTAGCA